TTTTGATCGCAAGAGAGAGAGAGAGAGAGAGAGAGAGAGAGAGAGAGAGAGAGAGAGAGAGAGAGAGAGAGAGAGAGAGAGAGAGAGAGAGAGAGAGAGAGAGAGAGACAGAGAGAGAGAGAGAGAGAGAGAGAGAGAGAGAGAGAGAGAGAGAGAGAGAGAGAGAGAGAGAGAGAGAGAGAGAGAGAGAGAGAGAGAGAGAGAGAGGGAGAGAGAAGGAGAGAGACATAATAATAATAATAATATCAACAACACTATGACCACTAAACTACCAAAAACAACATAACAATATAAATGGCCTCAGCCCCGCCCACTCTATTTTCAACTTGTCTTGGGGCAAGTTCGGTTCCGTTTCGAAATTCCATATCGAATGAACACTCTTAAATTTAGACACGCATACGAATAAATGCAAATCTCAAATAAATGCAAATATATCGCTGTACAAGCGCATATCTATCAGAGAGGCAGATAGCTATAAGCTTATTTTAAGGTAAACATATCCACTGGTATGAATAGTTATAAGATCGGGCTTTATGACGAACCGCCCGTAAGTATCTAGACTATGGCCGAAGAGACGGACGGGCGGGCGTAGGGCGTAGGGCTGTCCATCGTACCTTCTCTTTACACGAGGAGAGCATGGAGATAATTGACAGACAGATGGCTTGGACTGACAAGGCCGGCGACCAGTCCTCCGTCAGGATACTGAGGCAGATGTGGCCGTTGGAGTATATGTGTGGGTGGACCGGAATGTTGTCGCCGACGAAGATCACCTGCGGATTCAAGGGCGTGGCTGTAGCTGAGGAAGGCGCTCAAAGGGACGGGTTGGTCTTGCAAAAGGGCTGGGTGATATTGCAATAATATTTTAACTAACATTTTTTTTTTTTAAATCCACAAACAATTGACTTTCAAATATTACATCATACACACATACACACACACACACACACACACACACACACACACACACATATACATACATACACACACACACACACACACACACACACATAAAAAGAAAATGTGCACCTTACCTCCGGAGAATCAAACGGATATTTAGGCGAAAATTTGAACTGTAACTGGAACTTCTCCCCCTCGTACAGGGTGCCGGCCGCGCCCTCCATGTGGACCACCCACCTGCGAAGAACAGAGAACAGGTACAGGTGTTTTCAGAGACGAACAGAACAACACTGGGATACTTAAATACCAAAGGATAATAGAGCAATAGAGCTGGTGCTTTATACCGATTGCTCTGCCTTCTAAGAGTTCGCACGCCCCACAGCAATCATTCAGATGGCAGTAAACAAAACATACGTTAGGGTACTACACGTGACAAAACTTCCAATTACATAAGGTCCACACTTCGTTCGTTAAGTGCATAGCAAACAAATAACATTCAAGAATATAGCTGAACGTAACATAAGCAGAATATAAAACAACCGAACAGAATTTCTCCTTGAGACAGAAAATTTATCCCGTCGATTTGACTGGTATATTTACGTCTGAAATAGAGCAAGTGACACAAAGTCTTTAACTAAATTAATGGCGTGAAATATGTCGTGCACAAGCAAACCTACCACTTGTTGCAGCAGCATACGCAATAAATATCAATTGAGTTAATGCATTATTACTTTTACCGAGAAGACAGCCCAAAACTTCCTGAGTAAACAACAGTGACTGACTGACTGACGGAGCCTTTTCTTACACTATACATAAAGAATGACAAGTGAAATTCAAGGCCAGTCTTTCGTGGCTCGCCGTGACACGCTCATATGCAGACGAGGCTAACCGTGAGGCAAAACTATGCCATTATTATGTGCAAATATTTGTTACGGTGGGTATAATAAACATGCTAGTGTTGACTCACAATATACGGGTATGCGCGCCCTAAGGTGTTCTCAAAATAACCGGCCAGCATTGCGTTTATTAAGTGTTTTGTTAATTTAGGCTTTCATCAACAACTTGCCATAAAGCAACTGTAGATATTTTGGTATACTATTCTGTTGCTCTCAGTAATTCTTTGTCAATACTTAAACTTCGTTTCTTCAACAGAAGGTACCGCTTATTATACGTAAGTAAACACAGTAAAAAACATTCTACACAGAACACAAAAATGCACCCGAAATATTGCTCCATTTACCCCACATTACTAAGTTAAGTTTATGCAAAATTAAACAAATACTATAAATGCATAAAAAAGAACTTACTCAGTCAGTTTTGTGTGTGCGGTGTCCACGTCTACGGTGACTCCCGCAGGTGGTTCCTTCAGGAGAGACATGAGTTCCTTCTGTAGCCGCTTCTGTTGGGGGAGAACAAGGAACTCGTGTAAGAACTGATGCTATGGGGCATTAGACAACATATAAATATACTGCATATGTACCTACAAAGTACATATACAAATATAAGCAATAATTAAGTAGTTCAGTGCATTCGAGACAATGACCGGTAATTTCCTAATAAAGGATCATCGAGTCAGTAATTCAGCAATAAAACACATTAAAGGCCTCAACCAACAGTTCAGCAATAAAACATTCCAGTCCACATTTCCTTAACACGCGAAACAACAGCACGGAATCACGGGAGGAACATCACGAGAAGCCGATGAACACGTGAATAGATACTCCTATTTATTTCCCCCCTCGGGCTACACAACTACCTTCAACTTAGAAAAGAGATACATATTTCTTATTAATGTTACCGGAACATCAACTGTTGAGTTGTGAGTACTTGTAACTTAATTAATAAGAAAAGTTACATATTTACGATGATAATGTTAAAGGAACACATTAAACATTGAATATTGAGTACTTGTAACTTACTTTATACTCTCCCCATGCTAAATCCCATCAGAGTATAACATTAAATGAAATACAGAGTACCGAACACTCCACCTTCACTTAACCATATATTTTCCTGTTGCCACTGCGTAACCATCCCTACCGATGAAAACTTTCCAGACGAACGAGTCACCATTCTCTCCTACGAACAATTTAGAAACAACTTCGTCAAGAGAAGAAACGAAACCACAGCACAACATTCTAGAGCTGATCGGGTGAGGTGCACTTGGCCTCTTGACTGCCTACAGAACTGACAATCTTGGAGTCAAATTTTAAGCTGCGTAAGAGGAAACATACACTGTGACCAGGTGCAATACGGATGGTAAATTTCGTTATGAAAGCCTTGCAATGTGTAGGTATGAGGTCTCGCCCTTGACCTAATACCGGACTGGAGGCTTTCATCGTGTGGATGTCACTATGATAAAAAAAAAAAAAAATGGATTTAAGCTCCAGCATATTCATTTTCAGCGGAGGTCCTCGAACTGAAAAATGCCAGCACGGGGGGAAAAAAGGAGAGGTCTTTATTAAGAATCACACTTCCATTACCAGTGTTATTATGCATATGAGTTTTAGTTAATACAGGATTCTTTGCTCGATTAAAGAATAAAACGGTCATTTTCTTTTTCACTTTTAATCTAACCACCAAAAGGGCCGTTATGAATTAAAAAAAGAAGGAGAAAAAAAGCATGATTTAACCTCTAACAACATAGTTTTAAAGATAAATGATAATTTCCTACAGATTATAATCAGTATCATTTCCAGGTTTACACGTGATTAATTCAGCTCCAAACAGTTTATACATTATATATTACTAGCAGCATATGTACGTAATACGAATGCAACCTCCATCATCAGTACAAATAATAAACAACCTTATTTCGTGAATTCGCTTCTTACTACTGCCAGAATTTTCTTTTAAAGCATTCACGAACTGACTTTTTCTTTACATAAGGCACTGTGTTTTTACGATAACAGACAGCTGGATTTATGAAATCATTTAAGCAATTTATTGGATCAATTGTTAAAAGCTTTGACTTTCTCTTCTCCCTTCTGAAGTTTTCAGAAAATATCCAAATAGCGATTTGAGAGAGAAGAAAAAGAAAAAAAGGAAAAGAAAAGAAAAGAAAAATATAGATAGACACTTGTACTTATGAGTGAAAAAGAACGACCTTCGCTATTTTCAGGCCCCCTAACCTAAGAGGCTTCAAAGCGTGCAACGGTTGCATTGTAAACTGCATCTTTCATAATCACACAGCAGGAAGAAGAAAAGCCAGGAAGGACAAAGAAAGGCAACGACAGGGGTACCCTCACTTAAATATGTCCTTGACAAAAGACTGGAATTTACAAGCTTGTATTTGACGAGGACAGCCGATGGCCAAGGGGAATGCAATGATTATCAACAACTGGGGAGGCAAGAAACACTCTCCTCTCGGTTGCAATGTAGTGGTGACAAAGGAAGTTCAGCTACAACATTGCAAGTATTGTATATAACAAGTACCTCTAGTGCCATCGTAAATATGATGCTTCACAAAAAGGATGAGATTGACAGCTTTCCCCCGGAAGTCCCCCGCGAAAGGCCTGGCGTAGGATCCCCGAATGGATCGCGGGGGAAGGCTCCCTCACCCCCCTCGACGTCCCTCCGAGGCAGGAAACCGTGCCCGGTCTTCGACACGCCTGATCCCCTCGCGCGACCCGAGTATCGGAAAGCGATAACGTTTGACGTCGGCGACCAAACCAATTGTATCGGAAACAAAGACTCCTTTCCTCTGATCCCGCGCTGCCGCAGTCACTGGGCTTATCGGTCTTCGGTCCGCGAGAGAGCTCCATAATGAGGCTAGTGCGACTACAAAGGTTCGGACCAATTGTTTGAAGCGAGTGTGAGGGCGATGGCTCAAGCACCAAAACAAGTGGTTGCAGGCAGTTCGAAATCAGCCACTGGTGTTTCAACTCGACCGCTGGTCCTGCTGACGATCCAAAACAAAGGCCAATTCTACGAACTGTTCCTACCACAGTGAGAAGTGCAGGGAGGATGAGATGAAGGCAGCCGACGGAGCTTTATACAAGGCCAGTCCTCGCCCCAATAGCTCGCCGAGGGGAGATCGCCTTCGGCCTTATTCCTTTATTTTTCCTTGTTTTTCGGTCAGGTACATGGACGGCAAATCCATAACAAAACTGGTAATGGACTAGATCTTGGGTTGGCTAGTGATTATTGTGGTCCAGCGGGTAGATTAGAGAAATTTCTCAAGACCTCGCGTTCTCCGAGTGCTCTCTAGTTCAATGAAGGGACATTTTCAGAAGCCATTCAGAAAATATCCCTGAGCTACTACTGGAGAATTATGGATTTACGAGCATACGAACAGTCGGAGGAATGTTAATATAATAGCCATAAGTGGACCTGTAAATATTTTTTTTTACGTATCCTTTTAGGCGACGAATAAAATATGTTTTTAGCCTTTAATAGGTTCCTTACGGAGGAGATGTCAATGTAGGCATAATGTAATCGTCCTGAAGGATAAGTAGAGTACAGGGAAGTTAATAAATATTGGGGCTTTGGTTTTCAGTTAAAAACAATAAGTGAAAGTTCTTTCCTAATGTTCCCACGGTACATTTCCGTATACAGTATACACACACACACACGCACACATATAAATGTGAATATGAATATAAATATATGTGTATATCTATCTATCTATTTATTTATATACATACATATATGTATATATTATATATATATATATATATATATATATATATATATATATATATATATATATATATATATATGTGGCCAGTAACGGGAAAATATTTATGTTGACGGGAAAATACGCAGCTCCCTCTCCGAAACGAAATTACGAATATAACTTTTATACCCTAAATACAAAACCCAATTACCCAAAGAGCCAGGGTACAAAAATAACAAATGCCTCACCTAAATGCGCACAGTGGCTTGAAAATGGCCATCAGAATGTTGCAATGGCTTTCAGAATGTTGCTTTGTTTCCCAGACAGCTTGCAGATCCCCCTTAATTCAGTCGCAGGAAATGACTTACTCACACCCAGCTGACCATAATTCAATAGATTTTTTTTTTCCTCCAATGTCGAGATTCGTTTTTTTTTCTTTCCCATTTCTATCAAAAGCAATATAATAGATAATGTAATATAATAGATAAACAGAAAGCTAATGAATTCCACTGAGAATGAAACTCTGAAGCAGGTGGACGCCTCCGAAGAAAGCCACTGAAGGAGGAAACACACTTTCGTTCTTAGCTCCGACAGACCCACAGCCCACGGTGCCTACGGCCCTGGCTACTCGTATGCAATTACATGCTATGCACGAGCTATGCAGTCACAACATGATGCCGTTTCATGGTCGGATTTCAAAACAGACGACCGAGCGCTCCAGTCACGGGAATTGCTATTCCTGTCAGACAGCACAACCGTCAAGAAAATGAAAACTATATAGACACGTGTGTGTGTTCATATATTTAAATCTATCAATCTACCTATCTATTTATATGCATATATATATATATATATATATATATATATATATATATATATATATATATATATATATATATATATATATATATATATATATATATATATATATATATATATATATATTATATATATATATATATATATATATATATATATATATATATATATATATATATATATATATATATATATATATATATATATATATATGGGGGTGGAGACAGACAGATCCAGATAACCAGACCCCAAGCTCCCGCGGCTGCCGCTGTGACCCCGGCAGGAAATATTGACAAATAACGGGAAATTAGCGAGCGGTGCCGCTTCGAGGGCGATTATGGCGCCGCCGCTTGCCTTCGTCCCCCGTGACACCCCCCCCCCCCCACCGACGCCTTCTCCGGGTACGCTTCCGGGACGCGGGGAGGGCGGGATATTCTACTTGTCTTTCTTCTCCTTTCCTGTTTCCTTTCCTCTTGTTTTTTTTTTTCTCGTGTGCGCTCTCTCTCCTTTCCCATCTCTCTCTTCCCCTTCTTTCTCGTTCTCTGTCTCTTTCTTTCCTCTTTTGTTCCTTTTTTTTCCCCCTGTTTCTAACTCTTCCCTTACTTTTTTCCCCATTTACCTCTTTATCATCGCTATCCTTCATTCTCACTCCTCTTTCTCCACCCTTTCTTTCCTTCTATCGCTCCACCTTTTTATCTTCCTCCTTTCTCTCCTCCTCCCTCTGTCTGTCTCTGTCTGCCTGCCTGTTTTTCTATCTATCTGTCTGTCTGCATATCTCTGTCTTTGCCTCTCTCCTATTCTCTTTTATTCTCTCTCTCTCTCTCTCTCTCTTTCTTCCCTCTCCCTTCTCTCTCCTTCTTCCCTTTCCCTTCTCTCTACTTCTTCCCTTTCCCTTCTTTCTCCTTCTTCCCTCTCCCCTCTCTCTCCTTCTTCCCTCTCCCCTCTCTCTCCTTCTTCTCTCTCCCCTCTCTCTCCTTCTTCTCTCTCCCCTCTCTCTCCTTCTTCCCTCTCCCCTCTCTCCTTCTTCCCTCTCCCCTCTTTCTCCTTCCCTCTTTCCTCTCTCTCCTTCTTCCCTCTTCCTCCTCTCTCCCTCTCCCTCACTCTCCCCCCCCCCTTCCCTCCCTCACCCTCACCCTCTCCCTCACACGCATTTGTTCCGAGGAGAGAAGAGAAGAGAAGAGAAGAGGAGAGAAGAGGAGAGAAGAGGAGAGAGAAGAGAAGAGAGAGAAGAGAGAGAAGAGAAGAGAAGAGAGAGAAGAGAAGAGAAGAGAGAGAAGAGAAGAGAAAGAAGAGAAGAGAGAAGAGAAGAGAGAGAAAAGAAGAGAAAGAAGAGAAAGAAGAGAAGAGAGAGAAGAGAAGAGAGTTCCATCCTCGTGGCGCACAGGGATGAAAGCAGAATCGCGAGCAAGCAAGCAAACAAGCAAAATCGGGTAACTGATCATGAAAGCGGAACTATTACAGACAAGACCGGATGTGCCGCGTTACAGATCCTCATTTTTTAAAAATTCGGCTGTTTCCTTTCGATCATCGGAGGTGTAATGAAGCCCGTAATTCACTGGTTTGAATTATGTGATTTGTGATGTGTGTGTGTGTGTGTGTGTGTGTGTGTGTGTGTGTGTGTGTGTGTGTGTGTGTGAGTGTGTGTGTGCATGTGTGTGTGTGTTTACACAGACAGACAGATGCTTATGCAAGTTCCTTCACCCCCACAAAGAGGCGCCTCTGCAGCCCCGCGCAGGCGCGCGTCGGCCTCGAGCCCAAGGCGCTCGAGGGGCGTCGCGCCAGCGGCCGTCCCTCGAGGCTTCCTTCCGCCTCGACCCCAGGTATCAAGAACGCATTGAAAGCGTTTTATTGGGCGCCCCCTCGACTGCACCCCCCCCCCCCCCCCCGCCCTCGCCAGGCCGC